TCCACAAAAAATAAATAATAAATAAATAAATAAAACAAAAGCAGACATGTCAATACATTTGGGAGGCTGAAGCAGGAGGATCACTACAAGTTTGTGGCCAGTTTGGGCTACACAGTGAGTTTAAGGTCACTCCAAACTACATAAGAAGGGCCAGGGAGATAGCTCAGTAGGATAAACACCTGCCTGCCAAGTGCAGGGTTCTGAGTTCAATCCCCGGTAACACACACACACAAACACACACACACACACACACACACACAATCATCATCATCATCAACTATATAAGACCCTGTCTCCCACCAAAAAAGTGTATCATCATTATTTTGGGGATTTCAACAGAAAACCATTTCCTGGACCCTGTTATTAAGAGTTTTTTTTTTTTTTTCTTTCTGGTACCAAGGATGAACTCAGGGCCTTGTGCTTGCCAGGCAGGCACTGGTGCTATTAAGCTGTCTCCGCAGCCCACTAAGATTTTTTTTTTTAGCACCTAGAAGTAGATACCATGATTATAAGTAAACTGGATATGAAGGCACATACCTATAACTCCAGCACTCAGGACGTTGAGGTAGGATTGCTGCAAGTTTGAGGCCAGCCTGAACCAAATAGTGAGACCCTGTCCCTCTGAACAAAACAAAAATGGTTATAACTAAGTAATTATTTTTTTATTTGTTTTTGCAGTACCAGGGATTGAACTCAGGACCCTGCACTTGCCAGGCAGGCACTTATTCTACTGAGCCATCTCCCCAACCTGAAGTAATTTTCATGTACTTCCTGTTTGCATCTATCTCCTGGTGGACTCGAGACTTCAGAAACGTGGAGAAACTTGCTTGCTGCCCTATTCCTGGCACAGGATACAGCACACAGTAGGTGCTCAATGAAAATATGGGGAGGGGGAGAAAATACAGGAAGTGAGTAATTTTATGTGTGTGTGGTACTAGGATTGAACTCAGAGCCTTTGCACTCAGCTACATCCCCATGAGACAGTGTCTCAGTAAACAGTCTAATTGTCTGAGCTGAGCAAAACTGTGTGAGCCTCCTGTCTCAAAAGATCTTTGGGGG